AAGATAATAAGATTGCTGCTGTAACAAACATAGAAGAGTTTTCTAGGAGCACAGAAAAATCAATGACTAATTCTGCCTGGGACATAATTCATTAAGGGGACAATATTATTGGATTTAATAAAACAAGTAGAATTATCAGATATATAGGGCAAAATTTTGCCATTTTTGGCGAGTGATAATGGTCTATTTTCCAGAGATGCCATGCATTGACAAAATTTGCAAGGTGTTCTGTGATTTAATTTTTTTTAGAACAAGAAATTTCATATTACTCTGTATTGCTACTTTTCAAATATGCTCAGAAAGTCAGTCACATTTTGGTGACTAAAATGCAATGCTAATATTCTAATCTATATGCATCTATGCAATGAAGGACACATTCTAAATCGTAAGCGTAGATATTTTCTCTCCCATACAATTAAATGAAACTATATTCATTTAGGACGAAGAAAAACATGGTCCATATCTTTTTTTCCCCCTGAATAAGCCATTTCTCTCCTTCTCTATCTCTGCCTATCATCTATATTTTTTGAAAGGTAGTTGCATGATCCAGGCAAAAGTAGAAATTTACAGAGTTAGAAAGGGTTCCGTGACTGTATGAGGTGGCTGGAATTGGATGAACCAACCAGCAAACCAACACAAGGGAAGAGAAAGAAGAGAAAATATTGGTAGGTATATTGGTGAGACTCCTAGCAGGAAACAGATGGTACACTGGGTAAATTGAGGAAAGCTTAGTAACAGAACTATTTACAAAGATTAGGAAAGCCAGAAGGGCAAGAAGACAGAATGGTTTTCAGCGCCTGGGAACTTGTGTAGAAAGGGCCACCTAAGAGAAGCCAGCAGTGATTCCTTGGGAAACAGATAGGGGATAACTACCCAACCTCCTAGTCCCACTGTCATGCCCCGCCTTCCTCTACTCCCAGTCACCTCCGGCTCCTCATTCATGGAATAGGGAAGACAAAAAGGTGAGCAGCCCACTAGATCTGTCCACACTGGTCAACCTCCAGGGCACAGAGCTGGGAAGAAGTAGTGGATCTGAGTGACAAAATGGCCATATCTAGTACAATAAATTATACTGCTTCCAGATTACATGTGGCCAGGTATGATGCAGGAAGTTTGACCTTGCCTGTCGAGAACAGGGAGACAAAGAAAATGTTAAGGCAGGAATTGATATGACCAGGTGGTGCTTTTCAAACATCACTCTGGTGATGGTGTAGAGAGTGGACGGGCATCATGACGGGTTGAGGCAGGGAAACCTGTTGTGAAAGTCCAGTGGGAAGCGGAGGGCTGCATTAATGAAATGGCAGGGAGAAGGCACGAGGGTTGATTAGAAGGCAGTGTTGACAGGATTGTGTGCAGGAGGTGAGGGAGACAGGATGGGAGCTGGGAAGACAGGATCCAATTACCCCAGGGACTAGGGATGCTGTGGATAATGCAGTCATAGGAAAATAGGATGCAGGACATATATTTCTCATGGACTCATTGTTTGTGAAGATTGAAGATTATCTATTCACAAGAGAGAATTTCACCCTAATAGAGACAGGGATTTCTAATGAGAGGTTAAAATATGACCAACGCTGCCTATGCTGTGATAACTCTGTCTGAATTAGCTCACTCAGAGGCTTACAGAGAAAGTGATCTCTTTTCCACATGGACAGCTGCTTAACTGTTAATTGGTGCCCTGAGGAAGCATTTAAGAACTCTTGGAGCAGATATGGGCAGCAGTAACACAGCTAGCTTCTATTTGGCTTGTACACATGGTAGTTAGAAGCATAACCAATTATCATAAAAAACAGCTACCATTTTCTAGGGCCTATTTTGTGCCAAGCATTGTTGCCTTACAACAACAACATGGCAGCTTCTTTATTTATACTCCAGAAATGGGAAAATGAGGAGGTTAAGTAACTTGCTCAAGGCCACACAGATAGGAAGCAGATGTGCTAGAGAATATACCAAAGGCATTGGGCCCACTCTTTAGGGGCATACAGATGCTGGTGGCGTAAGGGAAGTTATATGAAAATATTATGTGTTGGATACAATTACACATGAATACTTACGTGATTAATTACAATTTTTAAAAACAAATTAATTCAGATCCTGAGAATGTACATTTTGATTCTTTGATTCTTTTCTTGGGAACTTTCTGAATAAGGTGGCTTAAGAAATTCTCAGTTGAGAAGAGGAAAAGATGGCTCAATGGAATATTCTTGACCAGAGACTGAGTTCCTTCAGGGCAAGGAACATGCCTTACTCATAAACTGCTTCCTTGATAGAACCTAATAAAATGCCGAGAATATGCTACTGTTCAATACGTATTTTTGGAATGAATGAACCAATGGGACGCTCTTTCAAAAGTGTTTCCCCGTGGAGATTTTTGTCATCACAAGGTGGAAGATGAGCAGCAGGGTTAATTCCGCCAGGATGTATTTACATAGCAACAGGGATCAGAATAGAAGATGTCTACTTAAAGCACACACAGAAACAACCACACAACTGTATCTCAAGAATTATTAATGGAATGTACCCAAAATGATTTTTTTTAGCGCTTCACAAGGCTTGGTGGGATTGCTTCCAGTTGGCTTGGATGAGAGGTCACACAGATTAAAAATAGACTTTCTTAATATGGAACAATAGGCTACATTCATTTAACAAGACAGAAAAAAAAAATGACAGGCCTTAGGGGCGGGAATGAAGCTTAATCCTATTTAAGAGCTCAATTAACCCCCAGAAGATTGAGTAGGTCCTCTGCCTTCATGGCCATTCTTCTGTCTAGCAGAGCTTAAAAACAGAAATTCGTAAAGAGGAATAAAGAGATTCACATTTGTATATGATATTGAAAATATTTTAAATATTTTAAATAGGGCATAATAAAGTTTAGGAATATAAGAATTAGTTTGCTTAGACTGCTACGGTCCTTTAAAACTTGAAATAAGTCATATTCTCTTTTAATCATAAAATCTGTTACCATTGTTAATAAAATATTCAAACACAAGTCTTTATCTTGACACATAAATTCACTGATTTTTAAAAATTAATTTCTTTCTTGTAATTATATTATCAAACAAAATTACATTTCCTTCTGAACTAATCAGTACATTCTCAAGAAATCTATATCAAAACCATGTTGGGGTACATTCCAGTTACTCTAATGTTTTAATGCACAGAAGCCAGGTTCTGTTCAAATTAGTCCAAACCAGGTTAAGCATCCGGGGGCTTGGGTAGGTCATTTGTATCAATTGCTAGATCTTACTTTTCACAGATCACCCTACGGAACCTCTGTGAATGGAATTTATCAGCTCTTTTCATTTGTGCCCCAGCGTTATAGAAATGACTCAAATTGAAAAAAATTTTCAAATTGAAAAGTGACAATTTCTCATTTGTGTTTTTGCAGTTGGATTATGATAAAAAGTGTTGGTTACATTATATGTACACTTTTTGTTTGATTAGTTCTTTGTTTTAATAAACATATTTTATGTTTATTAAATATATCTTTGAATTTTTAACTTTTTAAATAAACATTATCTGAAATATTTGAGAAGCTTGAACAGTTGAAGGTTTTCTCCCTATCACACTGAAATCATTTAAGTGGCAGAAGGAAAAGATCACTTTTTGCCTCTCCATTCCTTCAAGCAGTGGCATTTCCATCCCTTCTTCCCCTTCCCCACCAGCCAAGAATTCACGTCCTAATTTTCTCCTTGGGGTATGAGAGAATTTGCTGACATTCTGGAATAAGATGACAACTTTGCTCTGTTATATACTTTGTTTAAATTGTAGCTACTCTTGGAAATTACAGAGAATGTCACAACCCAAGATAAAGCATGACTTTGGCTACGTTTCTTTCTCTTTGTGATGCAAATGTTACTTAACCATTTATTTCTTGTCCCAGCTAGACAGCTAACACATCTATTTAAGGTATTAGAGCACTGGCACTATAACTGGAAGTCAGTTATTACATGCTACTCATCCATGTAATACCACTCCCTGTTAAATTGAACAGTTTTTTTCTTGAACTGACATATTATGCCAGTTCAATATTTTTCTTCTGTTCTGAAGGGCTACCTTCCAACATATTAGAGTAAAGAAATCAGATGCAGCCTAAACATGACAGAAAAGTTTAGCTCATGGAAGGATACAAGCTATGAAAACTTTTGTGTGAAAACTACCTTGCAGTGAAAATAAGACCACTGAACTAGAAAGAGAAGATCCTCCATATAAAAATCATCAGACAAACTAATGTTTTATTGTAGAGTCATTTAAGTCATCTTTTAGATGACACTGTAAACTCTTAATACGGTTCTTCAAAATCACAAACATCTAATTTCTAAGTGATATGCTTCAATTTTGGTAGTAAACCCTTTCAATCTCTTTTTTTAAGATTATTATCATTATTATATATAAAACATAAAACAGTATTGAGGAAGATTAAAAGATTTTTTTAAAAGCACCTGAATCCACCAATCTAAGTTTAATTTTTCACATTTCCATGTTTCTCATCAGTCCTTATCTATCTCCCATGATACTCCTAAATAGTTACAATCATAGCACAGAGCATAGAAACATATTCTAATTTTCTCATATAATTGTTCATTACTTCAAAGTTACATTTTTGATGGTATAGCATCAGCTTTAAATAAGTACATCTCATTCTCTGTTTACTATATAAGCTACTTAAGATGACAAAATAAATCTTGATAATTATTGACAATTGATTTCCAAAGGCTGTTCCCCAGTACACTAAGCAACATCTCATTCTTTTCCCCAAGAAAAAAAAATTGTGGATATGGTTACAAGTAAGTTTACAAGAAGCATACATCTTATTCTCCCATGATGTAATGTTCTGTTAAGAATCTGAGCAAACCAAATTGATTTTTCAGGAATTAAATCATAACATTTGCTCAGAGATTGATGAGACTTACACACTTTTAATATTTAATGAAACATCTACATGAAGATGGAATTTTATTCCAAAATTGGATGGAAAACATAACCAAATGTCAACTTACCAGCCGTTTCCTTGTCTGAAATACCTGGAAGTGCCTGGAAAAAAAAAAGCCACAAAATTATGTTATTACTAGAAAGAAATATCACAACATTATCAGGAACAAAATGAACTACCATAAATGGAGCAAAAATTAAATAGAACCCAACAGCAGAAAAATGAGCAGGCAGAGGAACTGAACAGACATTTTTCCATAGAAAGCATACAAATGGCCAACAGGTACATGAAAAGGTGCTCAACATCACTAATAATCAGGGAAATGCCAAAATCACAATGAGATATTACTTCCCAACTGTTAAAATGGTTATTAAGACAAAAAATAACAAGTGTTGGCAAGGATGTGAAGAAAAGAAAACCCTTGTGTACTGAACAGAGTGTAAACTGCACAGCCACTATGGAAAACAGTATGAAGATTCCTCAAAAAATTAAAAAATAGAGGGGCGCCTGGGTGGCTCAGTCGTAAGCGTCTGCCTTCAGCTCAGGTCATGATCCCAGGGTCCTGGGATTGAGCCCCGCATCGGGCTCTCTGCTCAGCGGGAAGCCTGCTTCTCCCTCTCACCTCCCCCTACTTGTGTTCCCTCTCTCGTTGTGTCTCTCTCTCTGTCAAATAAACAAATAAAATCTTTAAAAAAATTAAAAAATAAAACTACTATATGATCTAGCAATCACACTTCAGGTTATATATTCAAAGGAAATGAAAAGAGGGTATCAAAGAGACAGTTGTACTTCCATGTTCACTGCCGCATTATTCACAACAGCCTAGATATGGTAACAGCCTACATGTCCATCAAGGAATGAATGGATAAAGAAGATGTGGCATATATAGAATGGAATATTATTCAGGCATGAGAAAGAAGGAAATCCTGCCATTTGCAATCACATGGATCTGAGGGCATTATGCTAAGTGAAATAAGCCACACAGAGAAAGACAAATGCTGCATGGTATCATTTATATGTGGAATTAAAAAAAAAAAAGGTGAAACTTCTAGAGTCAGAGAGTAGAAAAGTTACAAGGGTCTGGAGAAATAGGGAGAATTTGGTAAAAGGGTATATAAACTCTTGGTTATAAGATGAACAAGGTCTGAGGATCTAATGTATAACATGGTGACTATAATTGATAACACTATATTGTATAATTAAAATTTGCTAAGAGAGTAGAACTTAAGTGTTCTCACCAAAAAGTCAAAAACAAAAACAAACAAACAAACAAACAAAAAAACCAACAACAAAAAACAAGCCAAAAACCAGATAAACATGAGAAGTGATGAAAGTGGTAATTAAGTGGAAATCCTTTCACAATGTATATGTATTCCAATCACCATGATGTAAATTTTAAATATCTTACAACTTTGTCAATTATACCTCAATAAAGCTGAAAGGAAAAGAAAAAGAAAGAAAAATGAGGGTTGGGGAACTATCAGTAAAGTTACCAAATCCAGGTATAATAATTGTCAATCATCATGTAATTCTTTTCTTCTCTGAAAACACATATTACCCTTAAAAAGATATTGGCAATAAATGAAACCAAAAACAGTCTTTGAATTTAGGTAGAATTTTTATAGTTCGATTTCTCTGTCCTGTTTTGGGGGACAGAAAAAGTAAATTGTGGTGGTTTCTCGGCATTTCAAATCTCTGCCCTGTATCTCCAAGGCTCAGATTCCTCCTTTATTATTATTATTTTTAAAGATTTTTATTATTTATTTTAGAGAGAGAGGAGAGCAGGAGCGGGGAGAGGAGCAGAGGGAGAAGCAGACTCCCCGAGAAGCAGGGAGCTCGAGGCAGGGTTCCATCCCAGGACCCTAGGATCATGACCTGAGCCAAAGGCAGATGCTTAACCAACTGAGCCACCTAGGCACCCAGAGATTCCTCCTTTATTAGATGGGGACAATCACATGTACTTCTTAGGGTTACTGAAAGGACCAACTGTGGTAGCTTCGATGAAGCATTTGAGGTCTTCAGGAAAAGGTAACTGCTGTTACTATTTGTTTCTATGGGCATTGGGCCAATGGGTCAACTTACTGATAGGCATGGTTTAGAAGTTCCATTCCCAGCAACTATCATCTATCACTATCATTATTTAAAAAATAAAGTTCAGAAGGAGATGTTTTCAAAAGACTTTAATGTATAAATGTCTAATTCTACTCTCAGTGGATATTCTAAAATAAATTAAGGAAGTTGAACTTCTGGTTCCCATTCACCTCAGTTATTCATGGTTATAATATTGTGAACATGAAGGTATAACTTGTATTGGAAGACTTCAATCCATCTGACCCACTGGGATTTGATACCTTTTACCCAAACCACTCACCAAACAGGATGTCTACGACTGACATCTCTCCTCTTCAGGGACAAATTGCTCAGAGTTGGGGTAAGAGAAGTAGGCTCAAATGAGTAATTAATTTTGTTGTCTGCATGCACACATATACCTGTGTGTGTGTGTGTGTGTGTGAGAGAGAGAGAGAGAGAGAGAGGGAGGGAGGGAGGAAGGGAGGGGAAAGCTCACAGGCATCGCAGTTGCAGATAAGCCTAAGGAAATAGCATCAATCTTCATTTCCAGAAATATCAAGTATCAAGATACCTATATCTTTGTGAGATATTGATTATTGCCGGGATCCTCACTTTTGGAACTTACAGAATTTGGAGATTGAGGCAATTTGCAAATAAGAGGCAAATCTCTCTATGGGTAAAAAATAGAGGGGGGTTTTATTTTGGCAAGATTAATCTATAGTGAAGGTATATTTTGACCTAATTTCTATCTACATTTAGTGGTTCACTTCTTGTTCTCTGAATGTGAATGCTGACTTCATCCTGGCAAAGGTACAGCTGTGAGGAGAATATCAGGTGAGTAAACGGCAGAGTGGAGGGTCATGTGCAGAGACCAGGGCATCGAAGGGATTGCATAGGCATTAGGCATCTTCCTCAGCATCCTTTCATTTGTAGCAGGGTCATCTATTTTTCCTTCTCTTCCAGAAGAACTGTGTAATTCTACACTATAGAAAAGCTGTTTTCCCCTTTACAGGAAAATTATCACATGGTTTTGGTGGTATTTGTTGACTTGTTATGTATCTTTTTTGGGAAGGGTTTATTCAAAAATGGACTTAAATTTGGGGCACCTGTGTGGCTCAGTTGGTTGAGGATCTGGCTCTTTATTTCGGTTCAGGTCGTGGTCTCAGGGTTGTGGGACTGAGACCCCCCAACAGGCTCCGTGTTGAACATGGAGACTGCTTAGGATTCTCTCTCTCCCTCTGTCACCATCCCACTGCTTGTCATGCGTATTCTCTCTCTCTCTCTCAAAATAAAGGACTTAAATTCATACTATGTGTTATATTTTAAGCTTAGCCCCTGGATTTCCTCCCTGACTGGAGGTCTTTCAAATTAAATTTTCTCTTCTGTGACAAGAAAATAAACAACAAAACCAAAACCTTTCCATTGAGAAGATTGTAAAGGTCAGTGATAAGCAGTTAAAAGACATTCATGGAGAAAGCACCTCAGAAGGAAATAGTGAACACTTACTGGGTTCTGAATAGGTACAAGGTGCCGTTTTAAGCTTTTGCCTGCATAAACTCACCAAATGCTTAGAATAACCTATGGGGTCCTGGAAACTTTTATGAGGTCACTGTCGGTAATGGAAGCCAGGACACAACCACCCGGCATGTTGGCCTCTGAGGTCACTAACACTAGTTTCAAAATACTAATCAGAGTCTTTTTGAAACAAGGAAGAAGAAAAATTTGGAGAGATTCCATGATAAAATATTGACTGGGATCACAAAATATCTGTGCAGGAATATCTGTATGACATTTAGAAATTATCTAAGTAAGTTCTCTCTTTTTATAGCCAAGGCCTTTCAGACAAATTGAGTGTCTTGCCCCAAATCACAGGTTGACCAGTGACAGGTCTTTTCCATATTTTGTTCTATTTGATTGCAAAGTGTGTCACCGAGCACGTATAAGTAAATATTTAATAAAAATGTTAAGCAATGTGTTGTGTTACAAAGCAAAAATATTTTAGCCTCCATGTAGCCAATTCCTATTACTTTAGAGCCTCACCACATTCTGTATGATTCTTTAAGCCACCAAGGCTCACTTCCATGAAATAACTGCATGATGTGGAGATAGGAAAGTCAAAGTTTGATGCACCCAGAATTTTATAACTGCACTTTCAAAGTAAAACCAGGCAGTCAACAGCTGAATGTCTCTCAGCTGATTTATCTTTGAATTTGAGGGAGAACTGTCTCTCTAGAAAAGGTTTATAAATAAATTTTAAAAATGCTCACACTCCATTTTCAATTAATTGAAGCTATTTGTTGATTCCTAAATTAAATGCCTGACATTACCCTGTGTGCAGAAAGCCTTGGCAAATTGTTCCTTCTTTGTGGAATTCACAATCTTGTCGAAGAAGGTACATGAAAGACAGAGAATAGTTGCATACAGTGGGTGCTCAATGGTCATGATTAGCACCATCACTGGTGTGACATCAAAAGGAGTGAGAAGACAGTCGATAATTAGGACCACCCAGGTGGAAATGGAATGGTTTTCTTGGGCACTGAACCCTTTGGAAGGAGACGTTGGTCCAAAGATTCTTTTTGCCTTTGACTTCAGAGAAGAGGCATGGCCAGATTTGGGCTTCAGGTCTTGAGGTTCCATAGTGTTTTATCTGTTCCTCTGCTTGGAACAAAACAGCCCATGTAAGGTGGCTGTATAGTCTGATATAGAGTAAGTGTTCATTAAACATTTGTGGAATTAAAGTACCAAACACATATTCATATATACAGTTTAAATAACATGTATGACTGTTGCTTATGAGAAAGGTCCTATAAAAAGCATATTTTTGAATTCATTAGGGGTTTTTGTTAATAGTTGCCATATGTTTCATTTGAACTGTATCCTCAGGAAGTGATTTAACATTTCTGGCAATAAAGCAATTAAATAGGACTTTCCTGCTGCCCATATGGGTTCATTGTAACTTCATATTTTCTTCTCTCATTTCTTAATGGAACAAAGGGAAGTCTACTAATAACTTCCAAATGAGAGAAGAAAA